ATGATCCAAAGAGATACACAACATTCCAAGTTTGTTGTGGTAATTTGGAATTAACATCACAGTATTTACTAGTTGCCTCTAACATCATGTTGCTCCTTTGTATTTTCACTTTCTTGCAAATTTATCTGTAGATATTTTAGCTAGATTATCCGTTTCAGTGGCATTGTATTTTTCAGAATTTTTTTAAACCAGAACTACATATTTTGACACAACTCTTCAAATATAAGCCAGTTATCAAAAACCAGTGGACAATGTTCTTTTCTTATTCAATAGTTAGCCTCAGTGCTTTCATCAAAATGAAGAAAGCATAATTGTCACACTACAATGCATGTTCCCTCCCTTCATAGATGAGAGTGATGTCATGCATATAAAATTTATGCTGCTGCATTGCTGCTTTTATCATTTCTCTCCCATGGATGTCCTGAAGAGTGACAGAATGTGCATGGCGACATTTACATCCCCCTTATGTACTTGTGTCCAACATTGCAATGCAAGTGTAAAAAAAAACAGACCATGACATCACAACAAGTTTCATCCTTTTGGTGTCATCATAATAGGAAAGGATGCCTATGAGCACAGGTGCTTTACCAGGAAAATACTCCCCCTGCCCCAGTCCCTGTGGGTCAAGTGCTACAACAGATACAATTTACTATTCATGGTGGCACATAATTTATCCTAATGTGCATTGTGAAACATCTTTTATGAATGCTTTGCATATCCTTATGATATATCCTGTGGGAATAATATACACATGTACAAATTCCACAAAAAGGTGACATGCTTCCTGACTAATTTCTAAATATATGTGTTCTGATTCATATTATTTGTATTCCAACTGATTTCATAGATCCAAATCAGCTTATGATTATATCAAAGAGGATACCCCTTGCAGCATCAATGACTAAAAACGGCAGTCAAACTTGATTTGAATAATGTGCCCTTTTGTACCTTTCTGTGTGTCAGCAGGTATCTAAAGCAGACAAATCTATTTTTGCTACTTATAAAACTGTCCTAAATTGAGGAGGATTCTGCTATGGTTTCTGAAAGGTGAGAAAGCCTCAAACATTCCATTCTGTTGCCAAGAGATAAGCAGGATCCACACATTCAGAATGTCTAATAAAACATTCTGGTATTTTTTTTCTATATTTAAGACATTTCACTCACTTTATGGTGTTTCCCAGCACTATTTTATTTGAAAAGTCAAACTTGAAGAACAGCTGCTCTGCTGCAGTCAGGTGTGCACAGCACATCAAAATGTACATTAAATATAATTTAAAAAAATTAAGGGCAAAATAAAATAAATATAACATTTCGTTGAACACAGAAACAAACATCAAGAAGCACACTACAGTAGCTAATGCAGTTTCTTGCTCTCTTTTGTGTATGCAGGCTCAATTAATACAAATCTCTCAAACTGTGCTTAGCACCAAAAACGGTGTTACTTCTGAACAATAACAAAAAATCTGTAGGATGCAATACCCTGACTTCACAGTTTCTCCCCAAGAATAGATGAAAAATGACACAGTTTCTCCTGCACACTTTCAGCGGGTGGAAAAATCCATTCTGAAAATAAAAGGCAAGTAAAGTGCTTATATAATCCTTAGAATACAGCTCAGAACTGAATGCTCCAAAGGACACAGATTCCAAAGGCTTAGGGTGCAATCCTATACTAACATACTTGAGAAAAGTCACATTATGAAACTTACTTCTGAGTGAAGAAGTATAGGATTGTACTATTAAGCATGCTTAAATCTGTACTTGGTTACAGCCAATGGAGGCAATCTCAGTTAACGATGGTTATGAAGCATCAGTGACATATACAATGTACCAATTTTTTTCAATTACCTTTCAAGACTTTTAAGGAAATCATATACATGCTTGCTCCCTTTGATATAAGAAATAATTACAAACTTTGCTTGCTGAAGCTCTTCTGCATTTTTTCCCCCTTGGGCAGTAGATGGTTTTATCTTAGCCTGTCACAATAAGCTATTATTTTAACATTAAACCAGTAAACAAAAGATCACTATCTCAAGTTGATATAATAGGAAACTCTGTAACAGCTTATGAAGCACAGTGCTTGTATTCATTCATGTAGTTACGAATGCATCAGCGGAAGAAGAGGACTGAAGTCCTATCTTCTGGTTCCTCCTCTAACTTCCAGATGAGTCTATATCAGGGGTGTCAAACTCAATTTCATTGAGGGCCGCATCAGCATTGCAGTTGGCCTCAGGGGGCCGGGTGGATGTGGCCAGGGTGGGTGCGGCCTACTGGGTGGGCGTGGATGGAGTGGGTGTGGCCTACTGGGTGGGTGTGGCCAGTGGGATAGATCTGGGGGTCTCTGGCAGAAGGGGGTGGGACCAGGGCAAGTGCCAAGGCATGGTCCACTGGAGGAGCCTCACTGTTCCTCTCAGGCCATGCAGGGGGGGGCTTATGGAGCTAAGACTGAATGCGTTTCAGCATAGAGGACCACCACAAAATTGTACATTAGCTCCCGGTTGGCCTGGGCCAGGGCCAAGGCAGAGGGGGCCGTTTCTTCACTGTTTCCAGGATGGCTTCACGGGCCACATGAAACCACTTCGTGGGCCGCATCCGGGCCCCGGGCCTTGTGTTTGACATGTCTGGTCTATATGTATAGTGTTTAGGTGCAACCAGCGACACAGTCACCTTCCATAAAAAAATTCTTTTGTCCAAGATAAGATTGTACATTTTTGATCAAGAAAGAAGGCCTTATCAGATAGGACCCTTCAAGGTGGTTGTGTCAATGAGTACAACTCTAATCTCCTTTCTATACTTTCATCTGGTCCAAACTCATTAAAATAATTATCTTCCTTTAATAGCGCAGGTATGTTTCCAGCTCTTTCCCCACCCTCTTCACTCCTCATAGGACATGGTTTTTATGGTCTCGCACATCATAACGTATTCAACTCTTTGGAGACAAACCTTAGTACAGCTAATGACAGTGGTGACAATACATCAAACATAAGATGCTGGTAGAGCTAAAATCGAATCTGTTACAAAAAGTGGTCTTACAGAGCATCTATAATTCCAAAAATAGCATTTGGATTAAAGGAGGAGAGGAGAGAACACAATGTCAGCAATTGATACAGTACCTAAATAAGAAGCAATACAGCAATTGAAAAAAATGGCACATTTCTGAGTATTTACTATCTTGTTGGTAATGTAAAAAACAGAACCCAAAAATATCTGAAGCAAAGAACAACTTTGCCTTAAACTGAAGTTTTGCTGATTAAAACAATGTATGTGCCAGGAGTCCTGCAACATTAACAATATAGATCAGCCTCTCTGATCAATATATTGGGCAAGTGTTTTCTCTTTATTTAAACAGGCCTTTTTGGGACCATTATAACCTCGTTGAGGTCAATCTTTTCATTCCCCTTCGCTGGGCCAGGTTGGAGGACAATACCGGTTCCAGCCTTGGTGCTTGAGGTGTTTGGTTTAAAGCAAAATAGGTGGCTGCCATGGCACCCTGCAAAATTAAAAAAGAGGGAGATTATGTAGTATTTCAGAACAATCACTTTTTTCCTCTTCCTAAGAAAAGGCATGGCTGCTTTAAAGAGATGCAGATGTGCTACATTCATGCTCCTGCAATCCAAAGCATCTTTTCAAAACTGAATCTGATAATACGGCTCAAAACTAATATATTGGAATAGGGTTGGCCAGCAAATTACGTTTTCCCCTTCCAATCTTACCAGAAAAAAATGTAGTTTTATATATGTTGCACATAGGTATCTTTTGTCAGGCCACCCACTTTAAAGATAGCATGTAAGGAAAGAGGCAAAGGAATTGCAAGCAAGAAATGCATCAATTTATATCAGAGAATGCGATATAGCTTGCCAGTAGCTTTACTGGTTACTGCTATTATGATGCATCAGGTTCAAAAAGATAAAGGTTTCCCTTGTCCAGTCATGTTCGACCCTAGGGACGGTGCTTATCTCCGTTTCATAGCTGAGGGAGCCAGTGTTGTCAGAAGAGGCTTACATGATCACGTGCCCAGCATGATTATACACCGAGACACATGGAATGCTGTTACCTTCCCACCGAAATGGTACCTATTTATCTACTTGCATTT